GGGGGGGGGGGGACGCCAACCAAGCGGTGACGGCGCCGGCGTTTGCGCGGGTGGGGGCGGGTCAAGCCAGTCGCCGAGACGGGCGCCGGAGGCGGGGACGGCGGCATAACATACACGTCCGGGGCGTCAGCCCCAGTCGCGTCAGCCGCCGCCCCGTCTTCGCGCACGCGCGACAGCGCCTCCGTGGCCGACAGCCGAGCGCGAAGCTCCCTGAGCTCGCGCTCTAACTCGGCCTCCCTCCCGGAGCCCGTCGCCTGCTACGCCTGCTCGGCGGCCGCGTACTTAATATGTAGCGCGACCTCCCGCAGCGAGCGGACGAACGTGCCTTTAAGGTTGCGGCTCGACTCCGCAACCTTCTGGACGACGGCCACCTTCTGGAGGATGACCGCCCCCAGGTCGGCCATCGTGGCGTGCCGCATCTCTGCGGCCAGCTCGCCCTCCGAAGGCAGCGGCTTACACGACCGATGCACCGGACGCGGGTGCACCGTCGGGTCCTCGACCGCTGCCTCCTCTTGCAGCTGGCGCTCCTGGAACGTGAGCTCCAGGAGCCGCTTCTTGGCCTCCGCCAGGCCGACGTACTCCCCCGTTGTCGGGGGGCGCCCCCGCTTGCGCCCCGTCGCCGCGCCAGTCCCGACAGCGTCAGAGCGAATCGACGCCGTCGAGACCGTCGACGACGCGTCCGACTCGTCGTCGTCGCTGAGCGACAAGCCAACGTCGACGCTGGCCGTACTGGGCCATCGACTCCGGCCGCCCGCGTGACGCTGCAGCCGAATCCTCGGCAGCAGCACCCGCGGGACGCCGCCCGACACAGACGGTCCCGGCGTAGCGACGGGGATGTCCCTCCTCCCTCCAGGCGCAGGGGCAGACGATGTGCCCGCCCCTGACGCCTCTTCACCAGTAGCAGTGCTGAACACTGTGGCCTGGCGGTGTACCACAGTGCTCTCCCGGTCGATGGATAACGACGCGGGGGGCCCTGTCGGCCACCACCGTCCGCGCCGGTACTGGGGGATCCGACGCCCCCTGCACCGGAAACGTTCGATCCGTTCGTTGTCATAATCATGGTACCAAGTCCTTGCGGGCAGACCAGCACCACAAGTTGGTATTCGCAGGAGCGATATCCAACTACTGGGGCGGAGGCCCAGGGACCCCACGTGGAGGTGCGGTGAGTGGACTTTGAGACGGTCGGGCCCCCAATTTCGCCGAAATTCCCCTCACCAGACGAGCAAGCTCGCCCGGGTGTTGGTGGAACATCAGCTCCATCGGAGTTCTCGCCCAGGCGACGTGCCCGGACGAGACCCTTCCAGCCCTCGTATCCCCTAAGTGCTGCCACCTAGATCATGTCGCGGCAAATATGCTTTAAGTTATGTAACTGTAATTTTGTCTGTATGTGTTAAGTTTTATCATCAAGGATATGTTTTAAAAAGTCACAAATATTTTTATGAATAATATATATATATTTATATTTACAATAATACATGTATACATCTCTGAAGTTTTAATGTATAGGGTCAATAATAACACAATAAATTTAGTGACCAGAAAACAGAAGCCGATTCTGCTCGACTACGCGGAAACCGTCGCATAAGTCTGTCCTTTTCGCACTTGCAGTTGTACTCTTTTACGGCATCTCTTCGTCTTGACGATGTTTGAAGGGTCCCTGTTTGCAAAGGACTCAAGCGCGTATAATTCAATAACGCAATTTCCGAGCGCTTCAAGTAAGTACCTACAAGTCGAAATTTCAAACTATTTTCTCATTATGGAAGTATCTGACAAAAAAATGTTTCAGACAAAATTTACTTGTTTTTTCCTGTAGAATCTAAATATGTGACGTTTTATAGGAGGTTCCATTTAAAATTATAAAGGCTCCCCCTTAACGGAGAAGGGGAGGCCACTTCACGTTTATATGGTTATAGAGACTCTTCCG